TCAGGGTTGACGCGCACAATATGCTGGAAGAGCTGAATGTAGTCTGGCTGGTATCCGGCTTGCTTTGAGAAGGCCAAAATCTTGTCGAACTGGCCGGTTTCGGCAAAGCCGGCGACCACTTTGTGAGGCACATTGGCTTTCAAGTAGATGTTGAGTGCAAGATTCATATCATGTGGGCGCACCAGATCACCAAGTTCCTCCGAACACCCAAGCTTGTTTTCGGACATCCATTTTTCCAGGAGATGTTTTCGACCTTGCTGCAGCACAGGTCTCACCAGCTCCACACTCTCATATTGGTTCATACCACCTTGATCAAGGAGCATCCCAAAATATTGCAAGATAACGGACATGCCTGTTGCGGGCTGCGGAGCATTCTTGAGGAGATTAATGGTCGCAGGCGTACGAAGGAATCCGCGAGGAGAGTTAGCTGCAATCTTAGCAGCTTGGACATAATCTCCCCGTGCCACCATTGAGTCGAATTCTCTCTTCAGAAAACCATCCGCTCCTGGAAGTCCTCCCTTCGACGCGAGTCTGACTGCAAGTCCTTCGTTATTGAGCTTTTGTAGAATGTATGGGATTATCTTTTCTTCATCGACGCTGACGGCAAGAACTTGGCCATCGCGGTTAACTCCAACGAGACCCGCCGATTCCGAATCAAGGGCCGTGGCGAATATTGATCTAGAAGAAATTCTGTTCAAAAACAGACAGCTACCACTCTCCAGATCGTACAGATGAATGAAACCGAACATCGTCACGATGTAAGCGATATCGTACTTCCTAGAAAGCTGAATAGAAGAGGGGAAATCTGTAATGGCCTCCGGCGGGAAAAAGAGTTGTTCAGCTTTCTTGGGAAATTTTTTAGTGGGGTTTTCGTTGTCGATTTCCACAATGTGTATTTTCGCAGCGGTTGAAGTTCGAACAGCAAACGTGAAGATTTTCGTTTCAGCAGGGTTTCCAGCGACGCGGATTTTGCCAAAGGCTGCTGCGTGCCCTTCGATTATTTGGGATTCGGATCGCGCACGGGAATAAAGTTGAATCTTCCCCAGAGTGGGCTTGCTGTTGTCTTGGGCCTGAACAGCAATAACTGCCGTCCATTGCTCATCATCTGTAGTTTGGTAGTTAAAGACTTTCCAATGCTAGAAGCGGCAGAAACGGTCAGTCAGAAAATCTCAGGAAAAACAATACAATAGATAAGATACCCACCTCCTCATCTATCCTTTCTTTATGCACAGATGCTTCAACAGGCTGGGTTTTCTCGCCGAATACGTCCCAGTGGTAGGAATGGGTTGCTGTCACCAGGGCAAGAGAACGCTCATTGATCCATTTCCAGAACAATATCTTGACTCTAAATCTAACGTCCTTCAGTATCTGTTCCGTCTGGAGGTTTATGATTCGGAGATTTCCGTCTTCCGACCTGACGGCTAGAATGTATTTATTCCAATGCATAATAGCACTCGCGCCAGGGATGGAACGACGGATGATTTCATCAGGGTTTTTGGGATTGACCACAAAGATCTGCTGTTGGCCACCGACATTCTGTCGTACGCAGACGAAGCGGTCGGACTCAACGGTCTGATTTTGTGATCATGAGATGGTTAGATTTAAATAGTTCTAGAAAGGACAGAGGTTGACGTTTAAGGGGGGGGGAAGTATCAGAAAACGTATGGGCAACCTACACATGTGCTAGGAAAAATGGCGTTCTCCTAGATGGGGAAATGGGGGTATTAGCACGCTATTCATTTTGATTGTGCAACTTGCCGCCAGCTTCGATAGAGATGCGCGGTTCCCCAATTGAGCTGGCAATGAGATGTCGCATGTGGAAAAAGTCGTGGTTGCATGAGGCAATAAAAACATACCGAAACTCCGATGGATTTCAGCTAAAGACAAACCAGGCAGAAGTCAAAGTCAGTCTTGAATGCCCATATACGCAAGCTCGGGTTTGAAACAGAGACAGTTGTGTATACCTGTAAAAGCTCAGTGAGCTTGATTGGGATGTCTGCGGGATTGGCCATGGTTGCGAAGGCCGAAGGACGACGACCTCATGCACCCAAACAAAACGCCTTGCGCAAAGAGATGAGTCGCGCGTGAGGGCAATAGCAATGACGTGACCAAGAAGGAAAAAATGCAGGAAATGGAAAGAAAGAGAAGGGAAGAAAAAGTGGTGGTATGAGGGATTGGGGAATGGAGGTGCGAAGATGTTTTGTTTGAAGGGGAGAGAATCCAGCTTCAGGAGATTGTTGTCGTGGCCTGGGCTGTCAGGTCACGTGGCAGCCGCAGCCGCAGCCGCAGCCGCAGCGGGAAAAGTCTACATAAAGGACGTGGATGTAGATGTGTATTGTCTGCTTCTTCATGTCCATCACTTCGGCTGGTGGACAACGCACCGGCTGGCTGCCCATCAAATCCTCAAAAAGGGCTAACAATCTCCTTTGTCTCTTTGTATCTTCGGTCTAATCTTGGGTCAGTTCGCCAGCATACTACCTTATCCCTACATTGAATCGAATCCGAGTACACCTTCTGATCATCTGCCCATTATTACTACCATGCGATATGTACTATACGGATCACAAGGGCGGCTAATATAAGCAATGCATACCCATTGGCCACTGTTGTCCTTCCAACCTTCAGGGAAATAAGGAATAAGAGAGGCAATAAGAAGTTTCCTGCGCATGATATCGCCTTCAATTTCTCCTCCCACCACTCTCCTCCTCACCTAAGCATCGATCGGTGAGGACGTGTTCATATTAAATGTTCTCTGCATGTACATGTACATACCCGTCTTTCCTACCCGCCTATTCCCGAGACAATCATTCTCCCTTGTGCGAGGGGAGATAAAAAGCGTAATCTGCAGTGCCCCTCTTCTGTCCAAGCCAGCCAATTCTACAAATAGAAGTGCCAATAACCCCTTCACCAAAGATAACCACCAGGGCTCAGTGGTAGTTAACTAGGGACTGGCTCTGAGGAACCCGGCAACTTGATAGAAGACTAAAGAGCAAAATAGGGATTCAATCAGTGATTCCAATGTAATGGGTAGATGTTGTGTAGTTGGCCCTCTGCCTCTGGCATAAGCATTTTATATCATGACTGCCCACAGACCGACCTACATACTTACAGATGCATAGAGATTGATAGTCGAAGAACTACCAACCATCCGTTCGACTTCCTCTGTGGGTGAGATAGATTAATATGCAGTGCCTCTGTTGAGATTGTTGTAGCTTCGTCCTCCTCCAAGTTGGATCAAGCCACATCCCCCAATTCCTGCTGCTCTCTTGCGCCTGGTGGCGCCTAATGACAACAATATTGAACATGAATCACGGGAAACGACAACCTCATGAGGCCTGGTGCTGGCCACCGGGACATTGGGCAGGTCTGGCTGAGTTGGAAAGGGAATGAAAGTAGTAGTTCAGTTCGTGTATCCTAGTACCTACTAGGAATGGGAATAATCAGGATAATAAGGTGCAGAGACAGTTATAAAACCACATCGTTGAAATTGGAAAGAGAAGAGAAGAGAAGACAAGGTATCAATGAAACGTAGATTCAAAAATATGAGAAGCCGGTCCTTGGACTCCAGCTTATACGTATTGTATGTACTCGTTACACTATAACATGCAGGCTTCATCAGAGCTCTCACAATCACAGCCTGACATCGCCGCGAACTTTAACTTTTGATAACTGTCTAATTTTTTCATTTTACTCCCGGCAGTTGATGATATAAAAAAAGAAGAAAGAAAGAAAGAAAGAAAGGGGGAGGGGGGAGGAAAATGTGCGAACAAAAATTAAAATATATACTAAAAGATCAAATCAATGGTGGAACAACCGAGTGCCTTGTTCCACAAACACAATCCCCAACTTTTCCGCTGTTTCAAAGACAGGGCCATCGTTCTGGCTCCCGCTTGGGGCAGCGATGTATTTAGCACCTGATCGTGCGGCGCGAAACACATTGTCGATGAACGGGAACTGTAGTAAAAAAACAAGCATCAAAAGAACAAGGGTATATTAGCAATGTACCCTCTAAAAACAGACCGCATGAAGAAAATATAAGTGGTGGGGAAGGAAGTAAAAGCAAAGCGAATGCAAAAAGAAGACTCACAAAAGCATCCGACGAAACGGCCACCTCTCCCAACTGCTTCAGCCACGCATCCCTCTCCTCAACCGTAAACGGCTCCGGCACACACCCTTCCTCAAACACTCTCTCAAAATCAGCCTTCTCGACGGCATTCCCCGGCACCTGCCCGGAACACAACATGTCAATCGCATTGCTCTTATCTGCCCGCTTCGTGCCGGGCTTCCAACGGATATTCAGCGCCTTCTCATGGAACCGCATCCACCAGTTATCTGCCTTGTCGCCCGCCAGGCGCGTGCAATGGATGCGGCTCTGCTGGCCTGCGCCAAGGCCGATTACCTGCCCGTTCAGAGCGTAGCAGACAGAGTTCGATTGTGTGTATTTGAGCGCGATGGTGGCCACGGTAAGGTCGCGCAGAGCGGAGTCGGGGAGCTTTTTCAGGCCCTTGGGCGTGACGATGGATGTGAAGGATTCGTTGGGGTGGATGGTTGCGTCGTTGCGGTGTTGAGAGAGTTGGATGCCATAGACGGTGCGGGATTCCTCGCCGGGGGGGTTATAGGTCTCATCCATTTGGAGAACGAGATATTTACCGCCTTTTTTCTTGGTGAGGAGGGCTAGGGCCTCCGGAGTGTAGCCCGGGGCGATGACGCCGTCAGAGACTTCGCGGGATATGATTTTGGCGGTGGGAACGTCGACGATATCGGAAAGGGCGATGACGTCTCCGAAACTGGACATGCGGTCTGCGCCTCTGGCGCGGGCGTATGCTTGTGCCAATCCCGAATCGTCAATGCCGGCGATGTCGTCGACCATGTATACCTTCTTCTCCTTCTCGTTCAGCGGGACACCAATGGCTGCACCAGCAGGAGAGACGTGTTTGAAACTGGCAGCAGCGGGGTAACCCAGAGCATGCTTCAATTCCTTAACGAGAGGCCACGAGTTCAAAGCATCAAGAAGGTTGATATATCCCGGAGACCCACCAAGGACCTTGAACGGCAGCTGACTCTGTCTTGTGAAGGCACAAGCGGGTTTCTGGTGGGGGTTCGCACCGTAACGAAGTGGGATGTACTGAGAATCAGCAGCATACTTCTTCCTGAAAAAGCCCGAGATCGCCTCATCGTAGTTCGCGGTGTGCTCAAACGCCTTGAGAGCGTAAAGTTTCCTGTTCTTCTCCGGGATATCCCCCGCCTCCAGCTCAATTAGGAATTCCGGGTAATCGCTGGGATCGCTGAGGATGGTAACACGGGCATGGTTCTTGGCCGCAGCGCGCAGCAGAGTGACACCTCCAATATCAATTTCCTCGACAGCCTCTTCAATTGTAACATCGGCCTTGGCCACAGTCTCCTTGAACGGGTATAGGTTGCAGACAACGAAGTCGACCTTGGCGATCTTCTGGTATGCCAGGTCCTGTTCGTCGGATTCGATATTCCGGGCGAGGATGCCGCCGTGAACAGCCGGGTGGAGAGTCTTCACACGACCGCCCAACATTTCAGGGGCATGTGTGATGGCCGATACATCTCTGGTTCAAACCAGCCATCAGTATTGTTGACAGCGGAAAGCCCATTCACACGGAATTTATGCCTGCCCTCAAGAAGCGACCAACTCACTCAACCGGGAACCCAGCCTCCCTAATCATTTTCGCTGTACCACCAGATGCGAGCAAGCGGACATTGTGTTGGATAAGGCCCTTAGCCAAATCTAGTAGGCCGGTTTTGTCGTAGACGGACAAGATCGCTGGAGTAATTCAAGCACAAATAAGGTTAACAATGGGAAATGTAGAATATGTTGGAAGAAGACAAATCGATATGTACCTGACTTCTGCACCATATTGTCACGGAAATACCTAAGAGCAGGCCTGTCGAGCTCGGTAGCGTCGAGAGATTTCTTGAACGTCTGGGTGGATGGGACTTCATCAGCCATAACATGTTTCAAAAACTGGATTGGCCGATGTTTCCCCAGTATAGCAGCAAGAAGAAAGAAAAGAAAATTTTCAATGGGTAGAAACTTGAACAAACGGCAACAAAGCGAAACAGAGGCGAGCAAGGACAGACGGAGCAGGAGGACTCGGAATGAGCTATATCATCCCTCAGCCAAAACCCCCCTCAGTCCGTATATACTCTTCTAAAGCCCCCCCCCCAGGGATCCCCACACCAATCACCAAAAAACAGACAATCAGATCACATCAGGTAGCTACCAAAGGGATGAAGACGGAAAATGGCGACAAGGCATTGGCAATTAGTATTAGAGATCGAGATGCGAATAGCTTACCTTACCTGGGGTTTGGTCAACAATTGCTACCTCGCAGACATGTGCTCAAAATAAAGCGAATGAAGAAAAGAAGAAAAGTGAGAAAAGCGAATAAAGGGCAACCTGTCAAGCAATTCTTCTCACTATCTCTTCTCCTTGGTTTTTGCCCGCCAAATCATTTTTCTTTCAACGAAGTTTATTAGTTGATTTGTGTTCCTGGCCCCTCAACCCCACCATGCTTATGTAATACGGCATTCGGCCTTCCCAACTGGTTAATAGTTAGCTGTCAACCTTGGAATAGACGTTAGTTAAAAGGGAATTACCCCCTTGCACACCAGACGAGGAATTGACCTCTATTATTTACTGATAGAATGAAATTGAAACCACGTCAAAGAGGAGGACGATTTGACGTATTTATTTGTCTTATTGCATCTTAACCTCCCCCCCCCCCCCTCCCCACACTTCTGATGATCATGGCCGTGGAGATCAGAGTAAACTGGTCTTGTTGCAGCTTTCACCTCTCACTTTACCATAATACCAGAGGACATACATAGTAAACGGATAGATGAAGCTGAGGCCTGTGCTTTGAAGTTTGAAATTTGTCCTGCTTTTTTGTAACGTATTAGTAATCAACTGCGTTTCTATTTTCATTGAAGGATTGTAAAACTCCTTCATCGGCAATGTAAAGGTTCTAGTACTCATGAGTATCTTCTTGAGGAATCTGTAATATCTGAGGCAATTTCAATTCAGAGAGGAAGATGATTTATTCTTTTAGTTAGTAATAGTAGTATAAAATGGATGGCTCAAGAGGGTGGATGGATGTTTTCAACTCGAGCAGGCACTTGATGTTAAAGCCACCACTGCTGGAACAAGACGGCAGTAGGCTCAAATATCACCCTCTCCAATAGGATGTTTGTATAGCTGCCACTGCATATATATATAGGACAGGATGCGTGTTGTGTAGTCTAGTAGCATTTTACCTATTTGGGGGGTTGCAAACAAGGCAAACACCTCAACATCACATGATCATCATCTCGACCTCATTTATTCTATTTCTTCTTTTTTCCTCCTTTCTTTTTTTTCCTTCTTCCTTCCCCATGAACAACGCAAAAAAATCCAACATTCTACCAAAAAGCGTTCCTACAAAGGCAACTCTCTCTAAACCGTTTTTTGCCCATGAGGTATGGAAATCGTCTATTAGAATGGAGAGTAATTGAAAGGAAAAACTACCTTTGTTTGGTTTTTTTTTCTTTTTTTCTCGTCGGTCTTGGGTGCAGTGTCATTCTTTTCTCCGCGTTCCCTCTCTCTATATAGAGAAAAGAGCGCGGAGGTAGGCTCTGAGTGGGATTGCAATGATTGGCGGGACATTCATTCAGAGGTATAATTGCAGATATGCTCGTTTGAACGTTCGCGAGTTTTTATTTATTTTATTTTATTTTATTTTATTTTATTTTATTTTATTTTTTAAAGCAGGGCAGAATGGAAGGAAAGGATGGTCATTTTCCCTTCCCCCTTATATATAAATAATCAGACAAGCGAAAAAAAGAAAATATATCGGTCAGTATTCAAACTGTCAATAAAAGTACATTGAGAAAGAATACATGCCCTGGGGAATCAAGTAGCCGAATAATGTTATCTCTCATTTTACCTCCTCGCCGCCATTTAACACAGTTGAGATTGTAAACATCAAGTTTCTCGCTTCCTCCTTCCTCCATCCTTTTCCCCTTGGCTGATCGAGTGCGTATTTCCAACTTTGTGGTTTTACTTTCCACTTCAGTCCCCCAACACAGGTGAAGGAGGCCCCTGCATTAAAAGCCGCCTTTCCCAGCCAGATTGTAATCCCATAGAAAAAATAACAACGACAGCCAGCGTTAATTATATTAAAAAAAAAGCAGTAAACAAAAATTATAGGAAACAAAAAAAGGTGGGGGAAGGAAGAAAAGCAAAGAAGCAAAAAGTTTTCTCAGCGAAGAAATGAGATGAGACCAAACGACGGTCCTCTCTCTCTCTCTCCAGCCGTTAACAAGCAGCCAGATGTCCAGCTCAGCTCTCCCAACCAACCGCCAACCGGCGCCCAATATTCCCAAAACAAACACAACTGCAGAACAATACACTGGCAATCCATGTCCCTACCGCAATGCTCTCCTGGGACGCGAACGAGAGTATCCCTGAACCATTACCGGCAGCAGCGGATTCAGCTGCATTCACCGTCAGGCCCTGCACGACGTCCGGATTGATGCCCAGTAGCGTGACCATGCCCAGCAAGCCGACGGCGGTGGAGAGCATGAAACCTGGCTTTGAGCGGTCGATGAGGTACCAGAGGAACGGGTTGACGAGCGCGAGGGTTAGGGAGACTTGGAGAGTTGATTGCCAGGGGAGTTTGCGCTAGGAGAGGAGGGAGTTAGTTTCAGGTATAATTTTAGACATAAGCCGTCGAAGTTGGGGGGGTGGGGGTGAGAGGGGAGAGGGAGGTTGCCTATATTTATATAGAATTATTACTCACAATCGCAAACGCAATCCCCACAAACGCACCGATGCTCCTGACAACCTGATTCCAATCGGCCGCTATGGATCCCGAATCCTTCAATTGCTCCCTGTCCACCTGCACGGGTACCTTCCCATTCCCATTCGCGCGCACAACCCCACTCCCACCCCCGCTCCCATTCATATCCCTATTACTAACCTCTACATTTCCATTGCTCACTTACGGCTCCTCCCCCTCCCACTACCACCCCTTGGCCCTACACTCACCGCTTCCCGAAGTCCACCCGAACAAGTTCAAAGCACGGTAGCATGTTTGCCCAAACACCTGCCCCTGCACACCGAAAAAACATCATATACTATCAAATAACCACCCTTTGATTGAAATCTCTGTACTGAATGTTAAGGATTGCCTCAAACGAGGTAGATGCGTTCGTGGGTGCACATTGTTGGCTCTACCTGATGCATAGGAATAATAGGATGGACCTCT